AAAAAAAAAAAAAGCTCCTGAAGACAAGACAGGACCCCAAGGCCTCTGCACCCACCAGCCCCGCAGTGGTTGTCCCCTCTTTCCCTCCCAGCGGGGAGCTGCCCGGGCTTCTCCTGACTGTGCTGGGGACGCTGGCTTGCCGTGTTAGAGCAGGGGCAGAGGATGGGGACCAAGGATGGCTGCCAAGCCCTGACCCGTTGTCCCCACCTACAGGGTTCCTGTCTGCCCTGGGCAACATTCGGTTTCCGCTACAATTCGCAGCTTTGTGTGTCGGCAAATCGGTTCTAAACTCTAATATTGCTGTAGTGATAGGAAACCATGACTGTACGATGGACAGACACCAGCACCCACCCCATCGCCACTGGTTGGGGAGCTGAGACCCTCACCTAGATTTGTCTCCACCCGACGTTCCTCAAAAATAAATAACACAGTCCCCAGGGAGGAGGCTTGGCATTTTTTCAGCACATACTAGGTGCCAGGTATTTTTTTGCATATACGTACTGTGCCATCCAACAGTCCCTTCAGAGGACCATGGTCTCCGGGTGCCTAGGAAAGCCCAAGCACTTTCATTCAACCTCAGGCCGTTCTCAACTGCCAGTGGGTCGTGCCAGCCCCAGGGCTGGGTGAGCAGAAGCCTGCCTGTGTTGGGGGCGCCGTGTTGGCTGGTCGCCCAGGCTCACTCCACTGTCCGCTCACCCGCCGCCCTTCCCCCTCGCCCCCAGGCCTCTGCACCATGATCTACCACTTCGCCACAGGTCAGCTGCTCTGGGGGTGGCTGGCCGTTGCTGTGCTACTGCCTGGCTTCCTGGTCGAGGGCTTGAGTTACCTGTGGTTCCGAGCAGATGGACAGCAAGGCCACTGCTGGTTGGTCATGCTGCACCTCCTACAGCTTGGCGTGTGGAAGCGGTAAGCCTGATTGCATACGTGCAGTAGGCGGGTTCATGTGAGCACACACACTCTATCCTCAGGGTCCTAAGTGCCCCCCCACCCCCAGTTCCATTTCAACACCTACTACCTTAGCCGAGGAAGGGGGCACAGTTTCAAGCACAGACTAGGCAGTCGAGCTGACCTGGTGGCCTGGAGGCGTCGTCATCAAACCTTTGTTGCAGGAAGAAGCCATTTGGGAGC